GCCCTTGGAATTGAATCTCACTTTCAGTAAAAACAGAGAAAAAAGTAAAGAAAAATTACAAAGGAATCAAGAAATGGAAAGGGAGAGAGGTACGATTCTCAAAAGGGTGGCCAAATTGGATCTAGATTAGATCTGGTGAGAAGTGCAAATGGTAAAGCTAGATGATTCGTGATGGATAAGAATGAAGGGTGGGGGTTATTGATTAATTGTGGGTTGGTAGTGGTTGGAGGTTGGAGATTTAATTGTAAGGGTATTTGTGTCTTTTGATAAGGAAAATTTACTTTTTTTAGAAAGTGAGAAGTTAATTTTAGGACGGCCCGAAAAGGAAAGTGAGAAGTTAATTTTAGGACGGAGGGAGTATATTATAAAAACATGATATTTCAAAACTATGTTTCAGAGTGAAGTTATTGATATTACATTTATATTGTGGCCAAAATTTAAAATTGTTGACTAAAAAAGTCAAAATGAGCAACAAAAGTGGACAAAGTTAAGTTTGTGCCCTACTACGACTTTACGAGAGAGAGCTCTTAAATATAATAAACTTTTTTGGAAATTATTTTTAAGTTGATCAGATTGCATAAAAGCATTATATGTTTTTGTTTGTTTATTAGAGAAAACATGGAAGGGGTAATGTACTAATGTCTACAAATACACACCCTATTTCCCTCCCAGACCTCAATCTGTGGGATTTTAACTTATAAAATCATATAAATGTATTGATATACCCATATGATATGATTAGGCAGAGTCAATTATACGGACTACATTATATTTACAAATGGAGGAATATTTACTTCAAAGATGGTAGACTCGGGCAGCCGAGCTTAAGCTAGATCTGCAATGCCTAAACTGTGTTCCCTTGCTCTACACTGTCACATGCCTACTGCAAGTTTTAATAATTGTATTGTAACCTTTTTTGCTGTTGAGTTTAGAATATTTGATGAAATCATGAAGATTTACACAACAATTGATAAGTGTGTTCGTATTTCTTTCAATAAGTGCTTTACCCCCCATGCCCCAAAATGAAGGCCTCGTTTACCATATTGGGGTGTACTAAAATGAAGGCTCCATCTCTCATCTCTTTACAAGGAAACTGTTTAAATAACTATTGACCTTTTTCTTCCTAGTTTTAGTAACTAACTACCACTCTAACCCTATAGACATTTGTCCTAACCCTAATACTATTCATTGCAATCAACCTAGCCCATCATTAATCTATGGGACTTTCATTTTGGGATGGAGAGAGTATTTAGTAGTTGAACTACAAATTGGATATTTATGCATTATTTCTTGTTCTTTGCGGGGTTGGGTTGTTAACTTTTTTTTTATCTACTATGTGAATTTGGCTCTCTTTCATATGAGATTATTGGAAGCCTTGAATATTCTTATTCACACACTTGAAGTATATGGGAGATACAAGTTAAATACAACTTAATCCTAATGAATGCTAAGCACATATAAATGATATGATTTAGTCTATGAGATTAAATATAAACTATAATTATATTATTAATGAATATAAATATGTAATATTGATAATAATGATTAGGAATATTGTGATATTTGATATTTCACTCCCTCAGATTGTACGTCTCCTTCTCCAATTTCACAGGGTTTTTCCTACGAGTGAACTGCAAAATTAAGAGAAGTTTCTTTTTGCACTTAGTCACATTTGGACCAAAGTGTTGCATTTCTCTTTTGCAGCCCATTATTTGTGACATGGAAGAAAGTGGAGAACGGTGGTGAACCTCGTTTGCGTGGTTGCATTGGTACTTTGAAGCCTTGCCGCTTAACAGAAGGCCTTAGATATTTTGCTCTAACTAGGTTTGTGAGTAGTGGCATACATATTACAAATAATGTTTCGTTTTTATATTTTCTTTTATGATTGCAGTACCAATTGCTAAGTGATCAAAGGCGGAGATTTGGAAACAGTTATTCATTCTTACATTTTTTGCTTATTAAAATGATATCACATGAAGCTGTTTCTTTAGTATAATTCTTTGTTCTTTTCTTTTCTATTAAGGGTCCATTTGGTTGGGGGGAAATTTTGATTCCATTTTCTCCTGTTTGGTAACATAAGTTATAAGAAAATATTTTCCAAGGAAAACATATTCTCCCATCAAAGAGAAAACATTTCTGTTTGATTTTGAAGGAAAATTTCTACACACTCTCCGCACTCGCCCCCATCTGCCACCCCCAACCCCCGTCTCCCACCCCTTGGCCCGGCCCCGCCACCAGCCCACCACCATGTCCTA